CGAAAGGGGGATATCGCTGCTTAGCTGTAAACCACAGTATAACGTTCTAACCGCCCTTTCAAAGGTGAATAAAGAAGTTGAAGAAGACAAAGAAGGAAAGAAAGAAAAGAAAGAAAGGTAGAAAGAAAGAAAGAAAGAAAGAAGAAAGAAAAAGAAAGAAAAGAAAGAAAGGAAAGAGAAAGAAAGAAAGAAAAGAAAGAAAGAAAGAAAGAAAGAGAAAGAAAAAAAAAAGAAAGAAAGAAAGAAAGAAAGAAACAAACAAACAAACAAACAAACAAACAAACAAAGAAAGAAAGAAAGAAAGAAAGAAACAAACAAACAAACAAACAAACAAACAAACAAAGAAAGAACAAGAAAGAACTGGCAGTAGTAGAAAGAAGAATTAGCAACAGTAATTTCAGGATCTTTGCCACAAGCCGTATTACTACATGATAACTGCACATGCGCACAGAGAGCAGCTAAGATTATTCGCACTAGCAATACATTGGAGTCATCATCATCATCATGTGCCGTGCCTATCATAGCTGTCACGTTTTGCCATCACACACGATCATAAAGATCAATTCAATGTTCAAACGTTGAATTAAGAATCAACATCACAGCACGCGGGACATTCTCATAAGCGCTATGTCCCCCGTATTCAGCAGCAAGTTCTGATGGTACCAGTAACTGATTGTACATCCGTCTCATCCTTCCCCTGAGTGTTAAGCGCCGGCCAAATCCTCTGGTAACTCCTCACTGAGTCATTCTCCTCAGACCGTTATGATCTATTTGAGCCTCCGCACTGTTCACTCACTCCCAAAAGGGCCTCACAACATCTAGCTTGTCATACATCAGTTCATCACCAACTGGTGCAAAACCGGCCAGTCTGCCTGCCAGATCGTTTCCCAACACGCCGACATTACATGGAGAAAATATCCAAAGGACGCTAACTACAAGGGACCTTTGAAGCGATGTTTGCCACTCTACACAGAGCATGCCTGTCACCACATTTCTCAACATGCTTTGTGAGTCAGTTAAAATCAAGGCATGTGTGCACATCTGATTCTCAAGCCAGTGGAAGGCAGCAGTGGCTGCCTTCACCTCCATTCTCAAACTAGATGATGTGATATCATATCTACACAAGTCTGAAACTTTCTCGGACACTTTGACACACTCCTCTCCTCGCCCAAATTTATCAAGCCTGCACAAGTGTCTAATTGTGTGTTCAGCCTTCACCATTCAAGATCTTCCCCTTTTCAGTCTCCGACCCTTAGCTCTACCCTAGGCTTCTTGCAGGCGGTGCTTCTTGTCTACAGATATTGTGGGATATCTTAGCTTGCAGAACTTTGAGCCTATCAGCAATAGTAGGCAGTGCAAGTATATATCACATACATACTACCGGGGTATCTCTTCTACATCCCAGAATTACCCCCATGGCTTCATTCTGTGTGCCTTCAAGTTTAATCCGTCCGGGTTCAATCCCGGGGGTAGGAAGGAAAGCCACATTTATCCCAGATTTACGGTACTTACAATGGAATCAAGGCCGAAAGGTTGCGATATCCATAATACCGAGCCTAAGGGTTAAACTCATGGCTTCTAGATACTAAAACAAACAAACAAACAAACATCAGTTGACTTTTTGATATGGTAAACATTCCAGGTCCATAATGTATCACCGACAGGATCACAAGCTGGAACCTTGTGAACAGCATTCTTTGTTCCATTGCTGCCATTTTCTTGAGAGCATTGAGTCCTTTTTGGCATTTTACAGCAGCTGCTCCACATGATCCGTGAAGGACATGCGTCTATCGAAAATGATACCCAGGTACCTCAGTTTGTTTTCTCGTTTGATGTTTTTGTCATTACCCCGTTCAACCGTGAAAAAAGTTATCACCGAGGAACCTCTGATGGCCACACCAGTCCGGTGTATCATGGTGGATGATAACTTTTACTGCGGGACTTCTGGAAGTAATAGTTATTTTTCAGAAATATCATATTCAACTTTCAGGGTTATAATTGGGAACCATGGTGTGCATCGACATCTCAGAGTATAAAGTTTTTTGTTTTGTTTTACATCGTGTACTTACTTATATAAGACAATTATGTAATTTTTATTGTTTCAGATATTGCTTTCTTGTAATCTGGTAATCCTAGTTTCAGCTTCATAGCAAACGGGCCACCCCATAGTTGCTCCGCTCCTGTGCCAACGAAAAACACACGTAGCTCACATTGTCACGCCATGCACTCAGCTCAGAAGCTGGGCGACGAAACTATATCCTTCCAGTCTACAAATGGAGACAAAATGCAAAGGCCACCGTCTGGCAGGAAAAAAAAAGTGGCCGTGCCTAGCGTCCATTTTGACCTGAAGGTTATATGAGGGTTAATAAACGGTCAAACCCAGCAGTACCCTCATTATTAGCTGGGGGAGGGACTTAGGACATTACGTCCACCAGCAGGCGTCGCCCCTACAACGACCTCCCTGCCTTTGTTAACGACTGTTCACCCAACAGCCATGCAGTTCTTTGGCACGAAGGAGACACCTTGAACTTGGGTTTCGGACTGCGGACTCCCTTCAAAAAGATGTTATTTTATGTTTTCTTATCACACTTGATGTCACTGTACGTTGGGCATACCCATGCGTGCTCAGTTCTCCGAAGCAGCAGCCACTCCAAAGTACTTCTACTAACTGTCCCCATGAGAAGCTGGTTATATCGTTTCCTTTCTCAGCCCCGAAGACAGCAAAGACGAGCATCTCCATGCTTAACTCTCATGTCACGCAATCGTGTTAGTGTCAGAGATTCCTCATTCTCCACTATCCCAGTTCGTAAAGCGTTGACGATATCTGCTCTGTCCATGCTTTTTCCAGCAATCATTAGTGCAGTGCTTGCCAGCTGGTTTGCTCGCTCATTTCCCTTTACTCCCGCATGACCCGGTGTGTAGATCCAGATTACGGAGGTTAAGTGCGATTTCCTAATGCTTTCTATCCATTCAGAGCGCATACTGCCTGTTGCTATCTTCTGAAGCATATTCATTGAGTCTGAGACAATTACTACCGGTGTGGCGGTTTGCTCGGATACCCATGCTAAAGCTCTAGAAACAGCGGCTATTTCCATTGTCATGCTTGACGTGGTTGTCTGGTAAGCGCCGCTGTCCTCATGTATTGTTCCCCCCCCCCTTTCTTTGCGCTGTTTATGCCCATGCTGACCTTGATCCGCGCTTCACGGATCCATCTGTGTAGATGATGATATCTTCTGGGTCTGAATGCTGATCTATCAGTTCCCTTACTTCTGTGTCTACGGCCGCAGGAATTTGATCCCTGCAGTACCTTCCGAGTGTGATGACAACCTTAGAGATGCCATGCATGTCTACTCGGTATTCGTCCATTATTTTCCATGACTGATCACGTCTAGGTCCCATACCTTCTGGATTAAATCCTCAGCCTTTGACATCCAAGAGCGGCCTCTTTTGAGACGCGTTCCTTTTGTGTCGTGTATAGCTTTGTGCAATGGGTGGTTAACGTTTGCCGATACCCTCATGTATGCCTTGACCTGTGCCACTTTGTATCTGCTAGTCATCGTCGGCAAACCCAGGACATAACGCATGGCGTTGCAGGAGGTGTCTTTTGTGCAGCCGAGAATGAGTCTCATGGCTTCATTCTGTACTCGGTCCAGTCTTTCTAGCTGGGTTTTGCTGACAGTGAGGAGGGCAAGACCATAGTCAATGACGCTTTAGCACAAGCCCTTGACAGAGAAGGAAAAGTAAGCATTGTTCAATATCAGCTGCTGCTAGCACCTTAAGTGCTGTCAAACCTTTCCTGGCTCTAAGTATGACGTTGTCTACGTGGAATTTGTATGACAAGCATCTTTCAAATGTTATGCCCAGGTATTTCATGGTGTCCGTTCTCTCGATGTCCACACCATAGATGCTTACGACTGGCGTTGGTGTACTAACGATGTGGGTATTCAGAGAAAACCATGTTAAGGAGGCTTAGGACGGGTTCACCTGAGCTCTTGATTCCTGGCACCACTCACTTAGTCTGTCTAGTTCGTGTTGCAGTGTGGTTGTAATTTCCTGCCTGTTTTTACCTCGACGGTAAACAAGGATATCATCTGCATAAGACATTGTTCTGCCTAGGCCTATGCTTTGTGCACTCGTGACTCCTGCTGTGTACACATTGAAGAGTGCAGTCGACAATGGTGATCCCTGGGGCAGACCCATTAGGGCGCGTTGAGGTTCGGATGCCCATTCACCGCATCGAAGCGACACTGTTCTTTCAAATAGCGCTGCTGCAATCCAGTTGACCAATTTTGTTTCTATCTGCATATCCAACAGCAGTCTGATGAGCATGTTGTATGGGACGCTGTTGTACGCATCTTCTAAGTCAGTAGCGACTGCAGCAGTTTCCATTCTCTCCTGTAAACCCTCATATGTGTCGTAAGCAAATACTGCAGCATTGCACCATGTATCTCTTCCTGGTCGGTACCCACCTAGTGTAGCGGGGAATAGGCCACCTGACTCCAATGTTTGGGTCAACGTTCCTACAGTGTTCTGGAGTGTGATAATTCTGTAGCCATTTATTCTCGTGTGGTCTTTTCCTGGCTTAGGAACCGGTTTGAGGTAGCTGTGGAGCCAGTCATCAGGAAAGATATTGCTTTGATAAGAGTTGTTAATATGACAGAAACTGTAGTTTGAATAAGTAGACTATCTTATCAGCATAGTGTCATTAAAATTGTAGCACTGCCAAGATTTATCAGATGGCACTGAATGATGATGATGCGCGAACTCGTTTACTTCAGAAATATGTTTCACCTCATCGTTTCTAAGGCCGGCGCTCATCCGTCACTAAGGAAGCCACAAGAAACAACATCACTCAAGCCACGGTCTATCTATGAGGGAAAGAATTATAATTTAACAGCAACCAGTATCAGTCAGAAACTGAATTGTGTTGGAGAGAATTGTACAACGTTCTTACTGCCCCCCTCCCCTTTTTCTTTTAACATCTGGATAAATTTTGCAGCATGGCTTTCAGGGAACAAGACGGTTCATTGCATAACTCCATTGCCACTGTCCGATGTGGCATCCAGGTAGCTTTGCTTTATTCAGTAATTGTTGTTCATGTTGCTGTTGCATTATTATCACTGTCTTAATAATTACGTACGGAGATTTGAACACGACGAAAGACAGAAAAAGTTCAGCCACCTCGCGGGGATGAATCCACTATGCGGCAGCCCACTATGCTGGCCAGGTATTCTGAGATACTAAAGACTTCAGATACTGATACAAGAAAGTAAAAGAAGAAAAGCTTCTCTCCAGCCGGACAACAAATACGACTCTGTTTATGTAGGGAAAAAAAAAGCGCTAAGAAATTGTAAAAAATGAAACAAATAAAGCACATCTTAGAAGAACGTTCGTAAAAAAATTAAAACAAATAAAGCACAGCGTAGAAAAACGTTAGTTAAAAAAAAATAAAAAAGAACAACCATCCCTTATTAACTAAAACCTCTTTTACAGATTAGTATAGTATCCCACTCCTACTCATATTTTTGTTTAAACTACAATTAGAAACCTATTTTCTAAAATATTGTTTTAAAATAAAAACCCCGTGGAAAGGAAAGAGCAGGAAAAAAAAGGAGGGGGGAGCTAAAAGTGGTGTGTATGTGTGTGTGTGTGTGTGTGTGTGTGTGTGTGTGGGGGGGGGGGGGGTTGAACTACATCTGTGCGATATTTTTGTCTCTACGAACCAGTTTTGCACCATTGACAAGCACAGGCGCAGAGTTAGTCAACAGAGCACAGAGTTAGTCAACAGATAATGCTCAGTGCACATCAAGTCCACAAGTGTTTGGATCCCATCCTCAGTAAATTCCGCAGTGTGTAGCGGCTGCTGCTGCCAGTCCTGTGATCATGTCTTATTCTTCTTTGGCTTCCACCACAGTGTTCTTGTCTGACCACACCTATTTTAACATGCTGTTCTTGCAGTCTGGTCATGGTCGCAGACTGACAGTCATCACCTGGTTCTCGTGGTTCTTGCAAACGTCTCACATCTCATAAAGCATTCAGTATATATGTAACATGTAAATAGGTTGATTCCATTAAAAAACACATGATTATTTTATTCTTTTCTCATTACCTGACTGCATATTTTTTTACCAGAAAACAAAATTTAATTCCTTTAAAACATATAAATGGTAACATGCCAACAAAATATGTGTTAAAATATGCAGTAGTAGGGACAAATATTTTGTTTTAAACAAACAACTTTGAGTGGCTGTCATAGTGGTGTCTGGACTTCCGCCATGTGACCCGGTACCATGTAGTTAAACTTGCAAACATTCATCAACAGAATAATCTAGTAATTTTTTCTGTTAAAAAAGATCTCATAATACATTGACTGAATGTTTATTGCAGAGTACAAGTGATTATTTTTTTTCAGGTTACAATAATTCAGAAGTTTTAATTGCGGATTTTAAAAATTTATCCAGCTCCCAGGTCAGCCCTTTTTCAAAGGGGTAACAAAAAAGTGTCTGGGAAATTAAAAGCACCTTGTGTGATACTTCCATATCACTCGCCAAATTCCAGTTTATTTGTAAGCAATGTAGCTTTAGAACCATATATGTACCCGAAGGAGTGAGAATAGATCATTCAGAAAATAACTGTGCACGGTTAATTTAAAATATCTTCTTCATTTTCTTAGTGTTTACTGGCTGTAAACTCCAGCAGAAAGTTTTGGTTGTTCATCCATTTCTGGATTTTGATCTTGCTCCAGAGCTTGAGTTTTGCGTGCACATCTGTTTTACAAATCTAGCTTATTTGTATGCAGAGTTCATTCCTCACCTGCCAAGCAGATGCACTCAAACTTCGAAGGAAACTTTAAAATAAAATAACTAAGTAGTTTTTTTAAAAATATAATAACACTTACTTTAAAATATAATAACTAAGAATTTTATTCCAGAATATTCTCCATGTGGGTCTCGGGTCCCATTGTGGAAAAAACAAGAATAGGCCCACTGCCACCCAACAAGCATGTCATAGGAGTCGACTTATGGGCAGCTTCCTTCGAAGTCGGAGTGCATCTGCCTGACGGGCAAGAAACCAGCAGTCTGCATACAAATGAGTCAGATCTGTAAAACAGATAAACATGCAAAATTCAGTTTCTGGAACAGAACTACAGTCCAGAGCTGGACGAACAACCAGAACTTTCCACCAGAGTTTACAGCTGGTGAACGCGAAGAAAAAAAAAGAATATAAGAGCTGAGAAAAACATAAAGTCCGTTCCTGGACTGCAGCCCGAAAGATTCTTCTTCTTCTTCTTCTTGTTCACCGGCTGTGAATTCCGGCGGTAAGTCGCGGTTGTTCGTCCAAAATGGACTTTTGGCTTTTACCTTGACCTGAGTTTTGCGTGTACATCCGTTTTACTGGCTTATTTGTTTGCAGTACTCGTTCCCCGCCTCTCCGGCAGATGTACTCCGACTTCGGAGGAAGCCCGAAAGATTAAAACTCAGTGACTCAAGGAACCACTATCTGGATGCAAATTACAGAACCCTGTTCAGTTGTACCAAACTGTTTCATCAGGGCACCTTACCATTGTGAAGTAACTTGTATTCAGATGTGGTTAACTTATGTTGGGGCACCTTACCATTGTGAAATAACTTGTATTCAGATGTGGTTAACTTATGTTGGGGCACCTTACCATTGTGAAGTAGCTTGTATTCAGATGTGGTTAACTTATGTTGGGGCACCTTACCATTGTGAAGTAACTTGTATTCAGATGTGATTAATTTATGTTGGGGCACCTTACCATTGTGAAGTAACTTGTATTCAGATGTGGTTAATTTATGTTGGGACACCTTACCATTGTGAAGTAACTTGTATTCAAATGTGGTTAACTTATGTTGGGGCACTTTATCATTGTAAAGAAACTTGTATTCAGATGTGGTTAACTTATGTTGGGGCACCTTACCATTGTGAAATAACTTGTATTTAGATGTGGTTAACTTATGTTGGGGCACCTTACCATTGTAAAGAAACTTGTATTCAGATGTGGTTCACTTATGTTGGGGCACCTTACCATTGTAAAGAAACTTGTATTCAGATGTGGTTAACTTATGTTGGGGCACCTTACCATTGTAAAGAAACTTGTATTCAGATGTGGTTAACTTATGTTGGGGCACCTTACCATTGTAAAGAAACTTGTATTCAGATGTGGTTCACTTATGTTGGGGCACCTTACCATTGTGAAATAACTTGTATTCAGATGTGGTTAGCTTATGTTGGGACACCTTACCATTGTGAAGTAACTTGTATTCAATTGTGGTTCACTTACATTGGTCTCTAGGATATTCTTCAGTCTGGAAACTACTATGTTACGGAAGAGATTGCCAGAGAAATGTCGGTCATCAATCATGTCCTTGAGCACCTGTCACTGGACAACACATTTTTGGCAACATCAAAGGAGTGGCAGCAAAATCCTGGAAACTACACCCCTAGCCAAACGTACCAGCATCTCTCAGGTGATATTTGGCAGTACACCCAATCTGGCATACACTCACACACTTACTTTGTGTATACTCACATACCCTGTGTACTCTCACACTCACCTTGTTCTATACTCACACACACTCTCTTTACACTCACACATCTTGTTTTACACTGACACACCTTGTGTACACTCACACATCTTGTGCACACTGACATACAGCTAGACTAACAATTATGTGTTGTATTATCCACCTACCTGATTGTCCTCTCTGTGAAACATGTTTCATAAGAGGGGACTAAGTAAGGGTAACATACAACTGGCTGCACAATACAACATGTCATAAGAGGGGACTAAGTAAAGTGGTAACATACAACTGGCTGCACAATACAACATGTCATAAGAGGGGACTAAGTAAGGGTAACATACAACTGGCTGCACAATACAACATGTCATAAGAGGGGACTAAGTAAGGGTAACATACAACTGGCTGCACAATACAACATGTCATAAGAGGGGACTAAGTAAGCCATGGTAACATACAACTGGCTGCACAATACAACATGTCATAAGAGGGGACTAAGTAAGGGTAACATACAACTGGCTGCACAATACAACATGTCATAAGAGGGGACTAAGTAAGGGTAACATACAACTGGCTGCACAATACAACATGTCATAAGAGGGGACTAAGTAAGGGTAACATACAACTGGCTGCACAATACAACATGTCATAAGAGGGGACTAAGTAAGGGTAACATACAACTGGCTGCACAATACAACATGTCATAAGAGGGGACTAAGTAAGGGTAACATACAACTGGCTGCACAATACAACATGTCATAAGAGGGGACTAAGTAAGGGTAACATACAACTGGCTGCACAATACAACATGTCATAAGAGGGGACTAAGTAAGGGTAACATACAACTGGCTGCACAATACAACATGTCATAAGAGGGGACTAAGTAAGGGTAACATACAACTGGCTGCACAATACAACATGTCATAAGAGGGGACTAAGTAACAACTGGCTGCACATACAAACTGGCTGCACAATACAACATGCACAATACAACATAAGAGGGGACTAAGTAAGGGTAACATACAACTGGCTGCACAATACAACATGTCATAAGAGGGCAAGGTCTACAACAGATTGTATACAACATGAGAATGAGATCTGTAACAACTGATGTCATAACGCAACACTCAGGTTCTCAAGCAAGACTGCAGTTCAGAGGGTAAGTAAGGAGCAACCAGGAACAATGGGCCGCCAGAGTTTACAGCTGGTGAACGCGAAGAAGAAGAAGATAAGAGGGGACTAAGTAAGGGTAACATACAACTGGCTGCACAATACAACATGTCATGATTAGGTCTATAAAAGATTTGGTGTATGATGACTGAGAGTTCATTTCCCTTAGTGAAATGAAGGAACAATGGGCTTGGTGTGTGTAGCCTCAGCTCCTTTTATAGCTCAGACAGTTATGCTGAGTTAAGATTCTTCTTCTTCCTCTTCTTCTTGTTCACCCGCTGTAAAATCTGGCAGAAAATTCTGGTTGTTTGTCCACTTCTGTGCTGAAGTCCTGTTCCAGAACTTGAATGTTGCGGGTGCATCCATTTTACAGATCTGACTAATTTGTATGCAGACTGCTGGTTCCTTGTCTCTGAGGCAGATGCACTCCGACTTTAAAGGAAGCTCCCAATTAATCGACTCTTACAACATGCTTTAGGGTAGGCAGTGGGTCTATTCTTGTTTTTTCTAAAATAGGGCCCCGGAACCCACATGGGGACATAGTTAACAATTAACAGCAAAGCACTTTAAACATTCCCATAAGTGCTCAATTTTTATCTTCAGCAGCCAGTGAAGAGTTATAATTCTGGTGGTACCAGTATCTATCGTCTTGTATGTTCATCTTGCCTCTCCCCCTGAATGTTGAGTGTTGTCCATATGCCCTAGTCCTCTCCACTATTCTCTTCACACTGTGATGGTCTGTTTGTGCCTCTGCAATGTTCTCTTCACACTGTGATGGTCTGTTTGTGTCTCTGTAGTGTTCTCTTCAGACTGTGATGGTTTGTTTGTGTCTCTGCAGTGTTCTCTTCACACTGTGATGGTTTGTTTGTGTCTCTGTAGTGTTCTCTTCACACTGTGATGGTTTGTTTGTGTCTCTGTAGTGTTCTCTTCACACTGTGATGGTTTGTTTGTGCCTCTGTAGTGTTCTCTTCACACTGTGATGGTTTGTTTGTGCCTCTGTAGTGTTCTCTTCACACTGTGATGGTTTGTTTGTGCCTCTGCAGTGTTCTCTTCAGACTGTGATGGTTTGTTTGTGTCTCTGTAGTGTTCTCTTCACACTGTGATGGATTGTTTGTGCCTCTGTAGTGTTCTCTTCACACCGTGATGGATTGTTTGTGCCTCTGTAGTGTTCTCTTCAGACTGTGATGGTTTGTTTGTGCCTCTGCAGTGTTCTCTTCACACTGTGATGGTTTGTTTGTGTCTCTACAGTGTTCTCTTGCTTGTAATGGGTCTGGACAGCTACTAGCTTGTCACGCATCAAATTACCACCAAATGGTGCAGAATCATCTAAGATGTCTGCCTATTTAATTTTCCAACACACATTCTCTGGAGAAAATATCCAAAGGATGCTAACTACCCAGGACCTCTGCACGGAGCCTAGCTTGTTCTGTGAGTCACTTTAAAAAACGACATGTTTGCAGCTGGTGCTCATGCCAGAATAAGGCTGAAGTGACTGTAAAACTGTAATAAAGGATATCCACACAAAACTCAAGTTCTGGGAGAAGACTAAAGACCACAAGTGGACTTTTTACTGGAGTTTTCAGCCGGCGATCACGAAGAAGAAAGAGAAGTTGCTCCATTCACTTTTGATCATAGGGAGATACACGCCAGAAGTAGAATATTTTGGGATAACACTATGAATAATGATATGAATGTTGGCAACATGATCCAGGTGCATTAGCCGCAGTAAACCAAGTTGCAGCAACACTAGACACCATGAAGCAACACTTCTGTAATGAGAACATTGCTGGCAAGCAGGAGAATCAACTTCGGGAGATCCACCAGTGGGCCATCTCATCTCTCAAGAATTCTCAAAAGGTCAGTGGGACAGGAAGTGACCTGCCTTGTGCAGAAGTAAAACTAGCTGTCTGCTGTGAGTTTACTCACTTCCAATAGTCAGAGTTTATTTTATGTAACTTTAGTCCCAACACATTAGAAACCATGAATCCATTTTAACAGCAACATGACACACAATGCAGTGGTATGAGATCTGGCCTTTCCACAACCATACTGCAACAGTAAGTAGTAGTTAAATAAGTCAGTTTTACCCCACCAGGATATCACACAGACCAATAAACACATGGTGACACAAAGTGCCAACATGTGGATGAGGATCACCCATGGAGAGGTCCTGGCCACAGCCAGGGTGGGGCTTCATAACAATAAAAAATTGCATCCCACAAGGGGATGACAAGGTTGTTTTTTTTCCCCATACTGAAATGGCTTGCCACAAAGGACAGGGTGATGAGGCAGGCCAAGATAAACCTACAGTGCAATTTAAAAGTCTTGCCATCAGACTTGAATGAATATCTCGAAAATTCCTGCATGGATCAACAATAAATTTTGCATGTGGCCTTAAATTTTCCATGTCTTAATGATTTTATAATTTATAATTGCACAGGTGCTGCTGTTTTCTTAAAGGCATGAATTTTTTTTATCTTTGTTTGATTAATAATTTGTGTACCCCTAAAAAATAGAATATACTGAAAATCTTTCTCACATGCAGCGATGTGTGATGATTTCTTTAATAGCCTATCTCGCATAAAATTGAAAACTGTGTTCATATAATTCACAGAAGGTTAATGCTGGGGATGACTATCTGAGAGTGAGACGTCTATGAAATGTATGCAATGTAATGTTTCGAAAATATGTCAAACTACTAAATTAGCTGTAAACAAGCTGACTGTTTGATTTAAATTGGTGTCTGCATTTTTTTTCATATACCTGAAAAAAGGCAAAATAAATACTAGATGTTTGTTTACACAAATGTATTTGTAACAAGGATATGATTATTAACAGCCTGCCTGCCAAATGTCAAAAACTTGCACTCAATGGTTACTGAGTTACAGATTTTCAAAGTTGGGCACAACTTATGAAACAGACTATAGCACATTGATCATTGGCAATGAAAATCTCATTAGCAGTGGAAAGACCCTCAGCAATGGAAAGACCCTCAGCAATGGGAAGACCCTCAGCAATGGAAAGACCCTCAGCAATGGGAAGACCCTCAGCAATGGAAAGACCCTCAGCAATGGAAAGACCCTCAGCAATGGGAAGACTTGATCAGTCAACAGTAATTTGGAGATGCAGGGACACAGTCTAACCACAACACTATGAGACTATCCACTGAAAATAGTCGTATAGCTAGTATGAGTGTTAATCTTCTTAGTGTTCCCTGGCTGTTAACTCTGGCAGAAAGTTCTGGTTGTTCCCTGGCTGTTAACTCTGGCAGAAAGTTCTGGTTGTTCCCTGGCTGTTATCTCTGGCAGAAAGTTCTGGTTGTTCCCTGGCTGTTAACTCTGGCAGAAAGTTCTGGTTGTTCCCTGGCTGTTAACTCTGGCAGAAAGTTCTGGTTGTTCCCCGGCTGTTAACTCTGGCAGAAAGTTCTGGTTGTTCATCAGCTGTAAACTCTGGCAGAAAGTTCTGGTTGTTCACCAGCTGTTAACTCTGGCAAAAAGTTCTGGTTGTTCATCAGCTGTTAACTCTGGCAGAAAGTTCTGGTTGTTCATCAGCTGTTAACTCTGGCAGAAAGTTCTGGTTGTTCATCAGCTGTAAACTCTGGCAGAAAGTTCTGGTTGTTCACCAGCTGTTAACTCTGGCAAAAAGTTCTGGTTGTTCATCAGCTGTTAACTCTGGCAGAAAGTTCTGGTTGTTCATCAGCTGTTAACTCTGGCAGAAAGTTCTGGTTGTTCATCAGCTGTTAACTCTGGCAGAAAGTTCTGGTTGTTCATCAGCTGTTAACTCTGGCAGAAAGTTCTGGTTGTTCATCAGCTGTTAACTCTGGCAGAAAGTTCTGGTTGTTCATCAGCTGTTAACTCTGGCAGAAAGTTCTGTTTGTTCCCTGGCTGTTAACTCTGGCAGAAAGTTCTGGTTGTTCATCAGCTGTAAACTCTGGCAGAAAGTTCTGGTTGTTCCCTGGCTGTTAACTCTGGCAGAAAGTTCTGATTGTTCCCTGGCTGTTAACTCTGGCAGAAAGTTCTGGTTGTTCCCTGGCTGTTAACTCTGGCAGAAAGTTCTGGTTGTTCCCTGGCTGTTAACTCTGGCAGAAAGTTCTGGTTGTTCCCTGGCTGTTAATTCTGGCAGAAAGTTCTGGTTGTTCATCCACTTCTGGACTTGAGTCTTGTCCAGAACTTGAATTTTGAGTGCACAACCATTTTACAAATCTACCTATTTGTATGCAGACTGCTGGTTCCTCACCTCTTAGGCAAATGCATTCTGACTTCTGAGAAAAAATATCACCAATATTGACTTTTTATGACATGATTGTCAGTGAGGCAGTGGGTTTTTGTTATCCTAGAGTTCCCCCCTTCCCCCCACCTAATATAAAAATGTGCCCCTTGCAATTCACTTATCCCCCAATCCCAGTGTGGGACACGGTTTTTGTGTGTGTGTTATTTTAAAGCTGCACCTCTGCTGTTGTTAGGGGCCCTAAATAAAGCCTGCAAGTTGGACAGGGTTTCTGGGATTTGTGGCCAGGTGATTCTCATCAGAATGGTGGCACCGGGTGTTTATCGCTTGTCGTGTGGTCCTATCAGTCAAGTCAAACTGGGCCTCAGAACCCACACGAGGAGAGCGTTGATCAGTAGAGATGATTTACGTTAAAGTCGAGAATATCAGCATCATTGCTCTTGGTTTTGTTCAATACGACTCAGTCTCTCTCTGCAGAAAGCTAACCACTTGCCAAGAGCATCACACAAAACACAAACTGTATAGCTCTAGTGAAAATCCCCATCAGAAACTGCACTTGTAAACTGAACAAGGCAACTGTGAATAAACCCACCATTTTCATATTGCTAAGCAAACTAGCTGGACCACTTTACCACAGACAATGAGCTGACAAGTGTCAACATTGACAAAAGATGCAAATGAAATGGCGATGGCATGTAGAGAGAGATCTGGTCAGTTACTGATGTAAATATGTGGCCAAAAAAAACCCCATCTGTCAGCACTTGTGTATTGTTGGCAAGCTAATACACATCAACTTCTCAAGTGCTGTATTAGGCTGCTTGCATAAAATCAGTTTTTTATGAGAAACTGACAATTCGATTAATGGACACTTGCATCATGATCATATCATTAGAATGGTGGTAACAACACTTGCATCATGATCATATCATTAGAATGGTGGCAACAACACTTGTAATTAGATTTATTTTAAAAAAATGACTGAGTTGGTTTGGCCACCTGATCAGAAAGAACGCAGCATCACCGGTTGCAAGAGCAGACAACATGAGAATGGAGGCAGAGAAAGGCCAATATGACGATGGATAGATAGTTAACAACTTGCAAATGGTGACAGAAGGAGATGTTGGATGATCTCATGTGGTGACAGAAGAAGAGAGATGTTGGATGATCTCATGTGGTGACAGAAGAAGAGAGATGTTGGATGATCTCATGTGGTGACAGAAGAAGAGAGATGTTGGATGATCTCATGTGGTGACAGAAGAAGAGAGATGTTGGATGATCTCATGTGGTGACAGAAGAAGAGAGATGTTGGATGATCTCATGTGGTGACAGAAGAAGAGAGATGTTGGATGATCTCATGTGGTGACAGAAGAAGAGAGATGTTGGATGATCTCATGTGGTGACAGAAAAAAGAGAGATGTTGGATGATCTCATGTGGTGACAGAAGAAGAGAGATGTTGGATGATCTCATGTGGTGACAGAAGAAGAGAGATGTTGGATGATCTCATGTGGTGACAGAAGAAGAGAGATGTTGGATGATATCAGATGGTGGCATGGAGGAGAGAGATGTTGGATGATCTCATGTGGTGACAGAAGAAGAGAGATGTTGGATGATCTCATGTGGTGACAGAAGAAGAGAGATGTTGGATGATCTCATGTGGTGACAGAAGAAGAGAGATGTTGGATGATATCAGATGGTGGCATGGAGGCGTGTCATCAACAGAAGAGACCCTGACCCAGCAGTGAGATCTTTGGAGAGACATGATTACTATACCCCGTTTAGTGAGACACATGATGATGATAATGATGATGATGATATGATGATGATGATGATGAAATCAGACAAAGTAAACCAATGCCACTGCATTGGCGCTCAATTACTATTACTTTAGTTACTTTTACTATCACCATAAAATACATTCCTGCAGACGCTGGAGCCATATGCTTATGATTCTGCGGACCGGATCAAACAATTTGGCGATACTTTGGGAGTGACCGACAGGTACACCAGCTATCGACAAAATCTAACTCGTGGAACTAGAGACCCATTTAGGATGCAGACTTCATGGATGGACAAAGCTGGGGAGCTTGGTCTAATGAACAAACTGACGAGATCACATGCTAGTGAGTTTGTTTTATGTAAAATCTGAATTCGGAAATTAGATGGTAGATAAACCTTATTAAATTATCTTTATTTTCATGTGCTTCCCGCCTCCCTCTGTTGGTTCATGTCGAGGGTGAATACTTGCGGACATTAAACATTCCTCAGCACCTGGAAACATCAAAGAGCAAGCCAGATAGACCACTGCCAATGTTAAATAACTAAATAACAAAAGCTACAGTAGCCAATGTTAAACATTTAAATAACAAAAGCTACAGTAGCCAATGTTAAACATTAAATAACAAAAGCTACAGTAGCCAATGTTAAACATTCAAATAACAAAAGCTACAGTTGCCAATGTTAAACATTTAAATAACAAAAGCTACAGTAGCCAATGTTAAACATTTAAATAACAAAAGCTACAGTAGCCATTGTTAAACATTTAAATAACAAAAGCTACAGTAGCCAATGTTAAACATTTAAATAACAAAAGCTACAGTAGCCATTGTTAAACATTTAAATAACAAAAGCTACAGTAGCCATTGTTAAACATTTAAATAACAAAAGCTACAGTAGCCAGTGTTAAATATCTAAATAACAAAAGCTACAGTAGCCAATGTTAAACATTTAAATAACAAAAGCTACAGTAGCCATTGTTAAACATTTAAATAACAAAAGCTACAGTAGCCATTGTTAAACATTTAAATAACAAAAGCTACAGTAGCCAGTGTTAAATATCTAAATAACAAAAGCTACAGTAGCCATTGTTAAACATTTAAATAACAAAAGCTACAGTAGCCAATGTTAAACATTTAAATAACAAAAGCTACAGTAGCCAATGTTAAACATTTAAATAACAAAAGCTACAGTAGCCAATGTTAAACATTTAAATAACAAAAGTTACAGTAGCCAGTGTTAAATATCTAAATAACAAAAGCTACGGTAGGTATATATCCCTGACCTAAGCCAAGCTAGAGAGGTTTTGGCTCCACCAGAGTTGAAGTACTGCCCAAGATGAACCATCTTGACCTGACAGATCAGCTTATTCCAAGGGGCAGAACCAACAAATACCTAGATATAGAATGATTGGCTGACTGAAAAGACCTCAGACATGCATGTGTCTAGTCTTCTGCACCAGACTGGACTTGGTGAAGAGAACTGATCAAACAGTTAACAGAAATGAGTCACCCAGTAACACATGTGATCAAGATGACAATGATGACTCGAGCAGAGCTGATACACATCTGAAAAACCTAGATTTTTTTTACCTGCTTCTCTCCCCTCACCCATATCATTAACTTTCTGTAACAGGCAAAGCCCTAAATGTTCAGAATTGAAACCAGAGAGAGAATAATCTGATGATTCTCTTCTGTCACAGTTGGTTGTTCATGAACTCAGTGTATCTGTTAATTGTAATTCCTTCCACCAGTAGTGTTATTATTTTAACATCTTAGGGCTAGCATGTTTTGTCTAGAAACTAAAAAGTATTGGACCATAATGAGTTAAAGTCAGTACTGGTGGGTACAGGTGTTACCTACCCAGTCATCTCCTTGTGAGATGCAATTTTTCCTTATTTGAAGCCCTACTCTGGCTATTGCCAGGGGCGGCAATATAGCCCGACCATAAATATGGTCTAATGGCTGAACACGGTTTCTGGGACCTCTCCACAGTGATCCTCTTCCACATGGTAGCACTTTGTGTCAACAGGTGTTTATCGCTTGTGTGATGTCTTAGTGGGGTAAAAATCTACTACTACTACTACTACTACTACTACTACTACTACTACTACTATTACTACCACTACTATTACTACTACTACTACTACTACTACTACTACTACTACCACTACTACTACTACTACTACTACTACTACTACTACTACTACTACTACTACTACTACTACTACTACTACTACTACTACTACTACTACTACTACTACTACTACTACTACTACTACCACTACTACCACTACTACCACTACTACTACTACTACTACTACTACTACTACTACTACTACTACTACTACTACTACCACTACTACCACTACTACCACTACTACCACTACTACTACTACTACCACTACTACCACTACTACCACTACTACTACTACTACTACTACCACTACTACTACTACCACTACTACTACTACCACTACTACTACTACCACTACTACTACTACTACTACCACCACTACCACTACTACCACTACTACTACTACTACTACTACTACTACTACCACTACTACCACTACTACTACTACTACTACTACTACTACTACCACTACCACTACTACTACTACTACTACCACTACTACCACTACTACCACTACTACTACTACTACCACTACTACCACTACTACCACTACTACCACTACTACCACTACTACCACTACTACCACTACTACTACTACTACCACTACTACTACTACTACTACTACTACTACTACTACTACTACTAATACCACTACTACCACTACTACCACTACTACTACTACTACTACTACTACTACTAATACCACTACTACCACTACTACCACTACTACTACTACTACTACTACTACTACTACTACTACTACTACTACTACTACTACTACTACCACTACTACCACTACTACCACTACTACCACTACTACCACTACTACTACTACTACTACTACTACTACTACTACTACTACTACTACTACTACTACTACTACTACTACTACTACTACTACTACTACTACTACTACCACTACTACCACTACTACCACTACTACCACTACTACTACTACTACTACTACTACTACTACTACTACTACTACTACTACTACTACTACTACTACTACTACTACTACTACTACTACTACTACTACTACTACTACTACTACTACTACTACTACTACTACCACTACTACTACTACTACTACTACTACTACTACTACTACTACTACTACTACTACTACTACTACTACTACTACTACTACCACTACTACTACTACCACTACTACTACTACTACTGGTGGGTACTGGAGGAGTCAGTGAAACTGTTGGTGTTACTGGTTTAACACAATTTGTGTTATTATGAGAGCTTGTGCACACATTTGTACTGATGACTGGCTTGTGACACAGACGTGTGTATTGATGACTGGCTTGTGACACAGACGTGTGTATTGATGACTGGCTTGTGACACAGACTTGTGTATTGATGACTGGCTTGTGACACAGACTTGTGTATTGATGACTGGCTTGTGACACAGACTTGTATATTGATGACTGGCTTGTGACACAGACTTGTATATTGATGACTGGCTTGTGACACAGACTTGTATATTGATGACTGGTTTGTGACACAGACTTGTATATTGATGACTGGCTTGTGACACAGACTTGTGTATTGATGACTGGCTTGTGACACAGACTTGTATATTGATGACTGGCTTGTGACACAGACTTGTATATTGATGACTGGCTTGTGACACAGACTTGTATATTGATGACTGGCTTGTGACACAGACTTGTGTATTGATGTCTGGCTTGTGACACAGACTTGTATATTGATGACTGGCTTGTGACACAGACTTGTATATTGATGACTGGCTTGTGACACAGACGTGTGTATTGATGACTGGCTTGTGACACAGACTTGTGTATTGATGACTGGCTTGTGACACAGACGTGTGTATTGATGACTGGCTTGTGACACAGACTTGTATATTGATGACTGGCTTGTGACACAGACGTGTGTATTGATGACTGGCTTGTGACACAGACTTGTATATTGATGACTGGCTTGTGACACAGACTTGTGTATTGATGTCTGGCTTGTGACACAGACTTGTGTACTGATGTCTGGCTTGTGACACAGACTTGTATATTGATGACTGGCTTGTGACACAGACTTGTGTATTGATGACTGGCTTGTGACACAGACGTGTGTATTGATGTCTGGCTTGTGACACAGACTTGTATATTGATGACTGGCTTGTGACACAGACTTGTGTATTGATGACTGGTTTGTGACACAGACTTGTGTATTGATGTCTGGCTTGTGACACAGACTTGTGTACTGATGTCTGGCTTGTGACACAGACTTGTATATTGATGACTGGCTTGTGACACAGACTTGTGTATTGATGACTGGCTTGTGACACAGACTTGTGTATTGATGTCTGGCTTGTGACACAGACTTGTATATTGATGACTGGCTTGTGACACAGACTTGTGTATTGATGACTGGTTTGTGACACAGACTTGTGTATTGATGTCTGGCTTGTGACACAGACGTGTGTACTGATGACTGGCTTGTGACACAGACTTGTATATTGATGACTGGCTTGTGACACAGACTTGTGTATTGATGTCTGGCTTGTGACACAGACTTGTATATTGATGACTGGCTTGTGACACAGACTTGTGTATTGATGACTGGCTTGTGACACAGACGTGTGTATTGATGACTGGCTTGTGACACAGACGTGTGTATTGATGACTGGCTTGTGACACAGACTTGTGTATTGATGACTGGCTTGTGACACAGACTTGTGTATTGATGTCTGGCTTGTGACACAGACTTGTATATTGATGACTGGCTTGTGACACAGACTTGTGTATTGATGACTGGTTTGTGACACAGACTTGTGTATTGATGTCTGGCTTGTGACACAGACTTGAATATAGATGTCTGACTTGTGACACAGACTTGTAAATTGATGTCTGACTTGTGACACAGACTTGTATATTGATGACTGGCTTGTGACACAGACGTGTGTATTGATGACTGGCTTGTGACACAGACTTGTGTATTGATGACTGGCTTGTGACACAGACTTGTGTATTGATGTCTGGCTTGTGACACAGACTTGTGTATTGATGACTGGCTTGTGACATAGACTTTTGTATTGATGACTGGCTTGTGACACAGACTTGTGTATTGATGTCTGGCTTGTGACACAGACTTGTATATTGATGTCGGGCTTGTGACACAGACTTGTTGTAATGATGCTATAAATAGGGATAACGTCAGATATAATTGGGGAAGTCCCTGAGAGCATGGGTTTCACGGAGATATGGTGAAACGACAGGAAAGAGTAAGTCACGTGTGAATGGTGAGATCTGGGTGATTGAGAATCAGGCGGTCATTCGGTGACTGGGCCCCAGAGAGAAAGGATGGGAAATGAAGCTGTGAAGATGAATGGAGAATGACGAGAGCATGTGGATCTGAATCGGCGAGGAATGAATGATCGAGAAGGCCAGCTGTTATGGTACCCTGTTTGATTGCTAAAGCCAGCCGTGAATATGTCAACGTCTATTGTCCGAGTGCTGTAAGTGGATTTTCCTGTGATTCGTGTATTGTGCTACCGTGATAATAAACTCGTGAAATGTGCCGCTGGTGTCAACCGTGTTAGAAGTTGTGTGACCGTGAAGAAGATCATGTCTGCTTTGATTGAGTTGTGACCCTCTAGACATCAGAGCCAGTGTTAACTCTGCACCAGAGATAGCCAGTGTGGAGGAGACACAAGTGCAATCATTACATTGATTCATTACACTTGTGTATTGATGACTGGCTTGTGACACAGACTTTCATACCGACGACTGGCTGCTGATACCTGTACCTGTGCATAGTACTCTAACAAACCAGGATATCTTCGAAAAGTTGGAATAAGTTCTGAAGAATTGTGACTTCAGTCTGAACAGGTTTGTGAGTTTAAGTGATGCTACCAGCACAGTTGGCACCCTAAAGGTGTGGGCTGCCAGTTACTGAGTAAAGAACGTGACACACACTCAGAATTATCATTTGCCCACTTTGATTGTTGTGCTTATCAACAAATTTATATGCATCAATTCTAAATGGGGATAATTTCATCAGTCTTGTTAGTTAGACTGTGAACTACATCCATGGATGGGCACTTAATCATAAGCACTTTCAACCAGTTGTTGGATGAACATTGATCATGAATTTGGCTGTATACCATTTTACACTAAAATATTTGCTTGTCACGTCACAGAATGTTCAACAGACTGAGAAATTAAATTATTCTCTTTCAATAGATGGAGTGACAGAATACAAAGAAACTAAAGGACGAAAATTTGTAGCGTTTGTAGTGGTCTGAACATTTGTTTAAACAGAATCTCAAGTTTCATGGCAAAAACAAGATTGTTACACATGACGACTTATAATATTTTAAAGAAACCAAGTTTGATGCTAGCAAGAAGGAACATATGCGGCATCAAAACCAATGTATTTTGGTCATGAATGATTGTTACAGTGAACTAATGGGTGAACATAAACACTAAAACTACAATCTGCTGCATTCCTCAGCCTCTGGAAGCCCAACCCTTGAGAAGCATTTTGAGAACAGAACAGTTCAGTTTGTTGGAGAACCTTCCACAGAGTTTAGTGAGTTTGGCGGTGTGCCTCCAGCCAACATCGGAGTTCTGAAGAAACAAATCAGATATGGCATGACTAACCCACCCATGCGGGTTACCCGAGGTATGCCTTTTTTATTCTCTCATTCAGAATGTTACCTGATCATTCCAGCTGCCATTGTTTGACCTAGTATCATATAGCGGTATCTATTTAAGGGTTCATCTTTTCTTCGTGTTCACTGGCTGTCAAATACAGCAGAAAGTTTTGGTTGTTTGTCCACTTCTGGACTTTAGTCTTGTTCCAGAGTTTTACAGGGACATCTGGTTTATTTGTCTGAAGACTGTTGGTTACTTGCCTTTCAGACAGATGCACTCTGATTTCAATTGTATACATGAAAAAGAAATGGATTGACTTGCAGAAAGTCTGAAAAAATTTAAAAACAATTGGAACAGACCTACACGGTGAGCTTAACAAAATTACAATAAACAATCAACTTTATGTCGAGAAGCCTTTTTTAGCAAATCATGTGCACACATACCTAGGGGGTTTGTGGCAGACTCATGCTTGTAGCCATGAGAGAGAACGGTTGCAGCTGCAAGCTCAGCTGGAGGAAAGTAGTCTAATATCTTGTATTTGTGAAGGAATCGCAGAACGTGTTTTAGAAAATATAAACTGGTATATTGTGTGAGGGGCTGCTTGTAGAGTTTGTGAGATCTCAGATCAGCGGCTAACTTGTCCAGGGTTTTATGCAGTGTGAGTGTGCACCCATTTGTGTGTGTGTGGGGGGGGGGAACGGGGGGGGGGGGGGGTGAGCAGGCTGATAGATTATATGCTGCTCCTCCCTATGGACACGATCCTCTCTCATATCAAGTGGATTGTGCAGCAGAACAAAGCACTCATACCTGTCAGCAGGTAGTAAGCAGCGAGCAAGCAGAATCCGTTCCTAAGTTAGCAGAAGTCATCGCCAATGAAGTCTTTGCTTTTCAGTGAAAGTTTACTAGCCTTTGGAGATATGTCTTACATTTCTTTTGGGTTTTCTGTCTTCTCGTGGTCTTAAAACTCAACGGTTTCACGTAAATATTTCACGTAAATATATATCACCTGTTACTTCCGTTGACTGTGACCTTTCACCTTAGCCTGGCCTATTCTGCCTCTCTGGTTACTTCCCATGCATGCTCCGTCCT